AGAGTTTTTCCTTTGCATTCGTTTTATGCCATATCTTTCCTTCTTAAACCGCTTCTAGAAACTTTCAGTTGCTCAATTACATATACTTCATTCCTTTATTTAAGCAGCCAAGCCCTAAATCTATTGGCTAATTTGGCTAAATATTAAATCAACAGTGTTATTGCTTGAATTAGGAAAGCAACTAGATTCCCACCCACTTTCAATAACTGCACACAGCCAAATCGCCTCACTCCACAAATGCTTTTGCGTTGTTGTTGTGGATGAATTGTCCAAATATGAAGCTTTTACTTCTCTTGTTGCTCACTTTGTAGGGAGGCTGTACTTTTATCTTGTTGCTTACGGTTCCCAGGATGTGCATTGATTGGCTAAGTAAGTATATTAAATAGCTGTTGCTATGAAACAGAACATTTTGGCAAAGTTTAAACAATTTTCGGAATCACCAATATCCCCAGCGCTGGCTGGATTGTAATATTATCGAAAGAGCTTCAGTTCAAATAAACGGCATTTTGTACAACTTGCTTCTCCAATAAGACTGGACAATTAAACTCATCATAATAAAAGCCCAAGATTTCCTAGCGACATGCGCTTGATATTAGCCAATAACTAAAAAAATAGTTTCGAATGGACACCTTTTACCACTAACGAAAATGACTCACCGCTATTCGAAAGGCATGAATTAAAAAAAAACATTCGCTGTCTCTCAGGATATCTAGGATAACTTATCGCTATTACTAGAAGAAATAAGACGAAAACTGCATTATAAAAAATGCATATTTAAACTCTTTTTTGAATGCGTATTGTCTAGCTCATTAAATATTTACAAGTTGTATATCCAGTTTTTCTAAAACAAACCATGCAACAAAAAAGCCAACTTCCAGTTGAACACCTACAGTTGTCTTTCTACTGCCCACAACCAAAGTATGGTGCATCCTTGGCAATGCTCCAATGCTCCAATTGCCATCATAAGCACCCTCGAAGAAATATTCAAAAGGGAATATGGTACAGCTTGTAGAACAACTCCTTCAAAACAACTTTAACCAAATTTCGAATTGTAAACCGTTAAATTTTGCGGTTGCCTAGCTACAAACCCGTATCTGCCACCTGACACCTTCCGACCCACTATGTTGTCTCGATTGCCTTTTGGGTGCGCTTAGGTAAAATTTGCATTTCGTTTCCGGTATTAACGTTGCTCATACAACTTGTATCTTACACATTCACTGGCCTTAAACCCTTTTCTTCAATGACTGCTCGTTTGATTGTGCACTCGCTCGCTCTTTTGTTGCATTGTCGCTCGTTTCCCGTTTGCTTTTCCGCTTCGTCGTTGTTGTAAAGCGATTTTGTTATGCATGTTTTTTCTCCTCGTCGACTTAAAGTTGACTAATGTATGCCTCTTTTTGTTGTATTTGATTTCTGTTGCATAGCTGTGTGCGTGTATTTGCTGAGTTTGGTTGCTCCTTGTTTTATTTGCAAATGCCGCTCTGGTATTCATTTACATTGTAAGTGCGAAGTTTGTTTGCCTACCAACTCGACTGAATGTACAATTTCGACTGTTGCCTCTAAATGAATTCATTCGAAGCCTCTTTGTGTAGTATTATTTTTGTTTGCGATTTTCCTTGTGCTCGTTTTTTTTTTTTTGTATTATTGTGTTATTTTCGGAGCTTCCCATGCATATTTGCATATTTCCAAATGCCAAAAAATAGTATGCAGTCTTGGAAGTTCGGATCCTATGCTTGACTTACAATTTCGGTATAACATCCTTTTCGGAAAATTCACCAACAAGCAAAGTGGGAGTTAACAGGAGCACTGGTTAGAGCAAAAGAAAAATTGACGTGAAATGTAAAAGAAGTATTTACTATTTTCAATGCTCAACGAAAGGTGTGAAGCGTGGTGGTGCCAGCCCTCAAGCCCCTTTCGTCTCTGACACAATCACTTCGCTTGCTTAACAGTCGGTAAGTCAGTCAGAGTGAGACTCAGCAATTTACTCGTACACAGCTCGTTGCTCACTTTTTATGCAAACATTTGTATCCAAGAGTATGTTGAGGAATCTTTTTGTAAACGAGAGTATGTAAATAAACATTGGGCTTTTGGAGCAGAGTCGTTTCAACCCAACGTGGGTGCCACAAAACATTAAAAGTTAATCAAGGCGTTTGCCGGCGTCGCCCATTACCTCTTGAATATGGTTCGGTAGTTAAATAGATATTTACACAGTTGCAAATTAAAGAAGTTTAAGAAAACTTAGTGCCAAATTAGAAATGCTATCTCTCAAACTTTTCATCAATGTCAGGTAACAGTACAATATTACAAAGTTTGGCATAAAAAACGAGTTAACAAACTTAACAATTTCTAAATTAAATTTATTCATATGGACGTGGATAATTATATCATGATACATTTGCGATTCTTTTTCGTTGAAAATAATTATACTGTTATATTTTTTTTTAAACTGAAAATACTCTGCGCTTCACCAGTTTAGCACACTTCAGGTTTTAATAGTTTCTACCAATTTCTAGAAAAATTAGTGTTTTACCTATTTTCATATTTTTATACCCTGAACAGGGTATATTAAGTTTGCCACGAAGTTCGTAGCACCCAGAAGGAAACATCGGAGACTCTATAAAATATATACATAAATGATCAGCATGGTGAGTTGAGTTGATTTAGCCATGCCCGCCATGTGTATTCTCTGCTCAAACTGCATAGATCGGATCACTATAGCATATAGCTGCCATACAAACTGAACAATCGGAACCAAGTGCTTGTATGGAAAACTCTTTCATTTGACCAGGTATCTTCGCGAAATTTGGCTTGGATTATTATTTAAGACAACGTAGTTTAAGAAGAAACTGTTCAGATCGGTTGACTACAGCACATAGCTGCCATATTAACTGAACGATCGCAGTAAAGCGCTTTTTTATGTGACGAGGCATCTTCACGAAATTAGATCGGAATTAAGTTCTTGTAAGGAATCTTTATATTTGTGAAGGGGTATTATAGCTTCGGTGCAACCGAAGTTAACGTTTTTTCTTGTTTTATTATTGTAGAACATTTTTAACTGAGAACATATTTTTTTTATGTTTATGTAATTCTAATATCGATTTGATCGCGCCTTGTACAGAATGATCTCAAAGTTCCGATTGGGTAGCGATTCGTATATTTTTCCAATATAATTTACAGAAATTGATGATCAAGTCAACTAACTAAAATCTTTGGGAGCCAACCATCCCCAGACCTTTTTTATTACATTGATTTCAAGATGTCCACTGCATTAAATCAATGTTTAGTCATTCAATTCCAGGCTTAAACACCCGAGCAGAGTGAGTCGGTGATGTATCGTACCGTGCCAAGTTCCAAAAAAAATTTAAAAATTGTTTCCAGTACGTTTTTTTCTTGTTTGCATTCATATTAGTATTCACGAATAGCTGTTCACCATCGTTACGAAGATCATGGAAATAATAATTTACCCATCGGCCCTACCAAATGAACTTCTTCTATCCACTTTTTCATTCTATAGTTGTCGACTCCATTCAATATTGGGCTCAAATACTGGGCAACTACCACAAAGCTTTGAAGGAAGAAAAGAGTACTTCTTGGATGATACGTCTCCCCAAACATTGCATAAAAAATTAACTTCATGTAACATCTTGATCGAAGGTTTTACTTCCGATTTTATGAGCTCCGAAAAGATTATTTGCTTAATTACAATTAAACCTCATAAAATTAAAACTGTACCGAACGCCCTCACTATTATATGCTGGTATCTTCCTTTTTCCATGCTCTTCACTACGTTCCTTTACACACCTAATCCTTAATTATCGCCCACCCATATTACTAGAACTTGACTCACATGAACTAGATGATATTTCCCACAGACTGCAGTGCAAAATACCACTTTTCCATAGGCTTGCGCGAATGTGAGCCAAATGTTATGTCTGAGGTAAGTTGTGAACTCAAGCGCCAGACACATCGAAATGTAAAGTCTATTGAGAAGCCTTACTTTAGACATTATATAATTCCTATATATGCCCAATTTTATCAGGGCACATATCATAACTCTGAGGAGGATTAAGGATGAAATCTTTGCATTTGGCAAGGCAGGTATATCATATACAGAAGATACAGACCAGGTCAGCAAAACGACAATCGTGGTAGCAAAAGTAATCTAATAAGCTTGTGGTAACGATCTTGCGGTTTTTGTGCAATGCAATGTCAACCACAAGAACATTATAGGCCAACATAGTTGCAAAATGAGCAGTCATCAACAGTTAAAATGTTTTATTCTTCATACCAAATACACATACATACTTAGGTAGGTACATAACGCTATTATTGCAGCCCTTCGTGGTAACAGAAGTGCACTGCAATTCATGCCAGTTGAGCGAGCCATTTGGGCGACCCATTCACTGCGAGTCTTGCTTGTGCATTGTTGGAATGTGTGTATTGGCGAATCAGGAACTCTGCGCATTACTTAAAATAATAATAATTCTGTGGTTTTCATTTCCTGCACTGACCCAACAGCCCATCTTCGCTTTATGTGCATTGAGCACCGCAAAAATATTACTTTTTCTTATGCAACCGCTGTAGAAGGAGCAAAGAAAAAACGCCGTCAACCTACACATATTGCAGAAATGCAGTTTTCACAAGTATCAAAGATGAGAGTTGGCCCGAAGGAAACGAAATCTCCAACGGCTTGCAGCCGTATACTTGAATGGGAGCTTTGCCTGCCTTTATGGGTGCAAAGAGAGGAAGGCGCAACTTATATGCGGTTATGTATGTCGAACATCTTAGTTACAATCTGTTTTACTTGATAGAAAATTAGAATCTAAACGTGGTAGTCATTGCATCGTGCAGACTGCGACTGCCTAAGTATCTGGGTTAAGAGTCCAGTGTTTTTAAAGTACTAAAAAGGAATTGTGGGACTTGTAATCATAAAAATATATAACAAGTAATTCAACTGTTTTTCTTATCAATTATTAAACATTCTTATTCTTGTATAATTCCAGGTCGACCAGAGCCAGTGGTCAACTGGATCAATGGCACACGACTACTGGAGTCAGGCAATGGAGTGTCGATGGGTCGCCATGTGACTGTAAATCGTTTGGAGGTGCCGAATATTTCACGATCCGCTCTCAACAATACCTATCGTTGTCAAGCTTCCAATACGAAGCTGGTTCCACCAGTCGAGCGCAGCATACGCATCGAGATGCTATGTGAGTGACAATTTCTCCCAGAGAATCCAAAAATTACAAAATTCGTATGAAATTTTGGTATTTGGTATTTCTGATATTTTGAATGTTATTTGCTAATTAGAAATAATGTATTTTTATATCCAATCATATATTATATTTGAGACTAAATAAGAAAATATCTTTACAGTAAGTCCAACATCTGTAAATCTCACAAATAAGCAAAAAGTTTTTTCGTCCGGCACTCAATATAATTTAACTTGTATCGTCGCCGGTTCAGTGCCAGACACAGAAATACGCTGGACGCAGAACAATCGGCCTTTCAAACGAGGAACGGTAAGATATGAAGGAAGTATATTAAAAAAAAGAGTAAGATTTATTTACAAATAAGACTCTTTGAAAGATATTAGAGGATTAGGGTTCAACTCATAAAAAATTGTACAGTCAATTAAAGTTGAGTTATAGTTGACCCTGTCTTGTGTCAAGGTAATGCAAGCACTTAGAAAAAAGTAATATTAAACATATCTTTAAATTAATTTAATCCATGCATTATTTAGTACAATTAAGGGTTAAGTTATCCTACATTTACATACACTGTTATTCTAAGAGTTACACTACTGCTATCTCTTTTACATACATTAATTAAGCTACCACAATAATGCATTATATATTGTGAGCATCATTTCCTGATGCTTGTCGATCACCATCACCAGGTATATAAAATGTTAAATTCGTAGGTAATGCTTCAAACAGTCACCGACATTCTTTCCTTCCGTACCAAATTTATTGAAAGTTATGCCCGTAGTTGCAACACAGAAGTCAGTTGTTCTCTCTTGTTTTCATTTCACCAATGTTGCCATTGTTCTATTTGTATACACGATTTTACACGTTTATTTTTTAACTACTACAAAATATGGAGATTGGCTACCGTGCATTGCAAGAGATTGCTCTCTCACTCTCAGCTCACTCGTTTCTACGGAAAAAAACCCAATTTTCGCGGATATCCTACCATACGGTCTGTAGAAACGGACGGTAGAAGCGGTGGTGAGTGTTCATTTATATTGCGCTCTCATAAGATAGGTCGTATCAGCTGACTCGGTGCGCGGTTTTGCGTCAATGACTGTTTGAAGCATAATCATGTCAGTTGTATTTTGGCTATCACAATTTGATTATATATATTCATAAATAAATTTTTTGATATTTACATAACATTACATACAAGACAAGAGTCAGAGCTATATAGTCAATACACGTACCTTTGGGCTGCATTCCTAATTACTTATTTCGTTAAAGTTGTCGCTTAACTAATTCACATTGTCATGTGTTTTTCACACACAATATGAAGAGATCCACAATGGATCCAACGCAAAGACAAATAACAAACTAATTATATATAATATAATATAACTAAACGATCGCTCTCTTATTTCTCCATAGCTAACAACGACACAAAGCAACGGCAGAGTCTTCTCCATGCTGTCCTTTCATCCACAACCCGAAGACGACGGCACATTATTGAAGTGTGCAGGCTCCAATCCGCGGTTGCCCATCTCTGCAATGGAAGATTCTATTTTGCTGAATGTGATGTGTAAGTTGAATGAAATTAAGAACTTTACTTTTAAGTAAACTAAAGTAAATATCCACATATTTATTACAAATACTTAAATAGATTAATTAATGGTCTAGATAGTCGAAATTGACATTATTTAGCACCGTTCAAAATAAAGAGGCTTTGACGCATATACCATAATTTTTACAGAAATATGTTCTATTTGATACGAGTTCATTATTGGAAATATATTGTTTTATAAGAAAGTGCAGTTTACCCGTGCGCAAAGTTTTCGCTGCATTTACATCGATTTCATACAAATATGATTTTTTTTGGCATACAAATGGGAAAAGTTTCACAATAAATCTAAATTATTTGTTGTGCGAAATTTCGCCATGCTCTCGGTAAAAATGTGCAAACAATTCACCTTACTTGCTGGCTGCTGACATAATAACGCCGCAGTAAATTTCACTTTTCGATTATCTAAGCCGCAAACATGTCAAAATTCCAACTCGCCGACTTTCGAAGGTTGAAAATCCGCCGAATTTGATAGGATCTAACGGCTGTAATGTCAAAAGTAGCAAAAAACTAAAACGCTCTCGGCACATTTAGAAACTCGAATCCACACACCTACATGCATGTACACCTCACACCCACATATACTGGTAGACACTTTTGTGTCGCAGCGTGTATATTTATAAATATATTCATATGATATTCAATAAAGTTGTCAGCGCTTGTTTTATTGTTTCCCACACATATACATTTGTATTTTCATGCACATATATATATATATATATATATATATAGTGTGTGTGTGCGCTCGCATACGTGTGTAATTTAATGAATGTATATGTTTTTCTAAACATAATCATAAATTTATTGAAATGCAGACTTAAATAGAAAATTTATGACCGTAGCAGTAAAAGTGGGTACAACACGCGAGAACGTGGCAGTTGAGCGAGACGGCAAGAAGGTGGGGAAGTTACACAAACGCTTTCACTCCCTCTGTAACATTTGTACATACTTATGCAGTCACGTTCGTTGTAAGGAGCAAGTTATTGTGGGGCGGGCGCCCACACGACCGTTTGTCATGCCGCCTGCGCTCCCATGCTGTGGAATTGCCAATGGCTTTCAGCACAGCGAGCACATGCCATGATGAAAGCTATGAAAGTTTTATTTCTTCGAAAACGGTTATAAATAATGAATTGTACGGTGTGACAAACAGACAACAAATAATAAGCAAGTGGAGAACAAAAATATGCAGATTTTTATTCGAATTGTGGTCCGTGGGGTGTGTGCATACCGGTCAGGGTGCCTCGCATGTGGGGATGCAACGCGCCGAGTTCGAAACACTAATGTGTTAGGAAAGTGCAGAGTGAACACATCTACACGCACACAATATTTGGTTTGAATATAAGTATAAGTGCACAGATGAAATTCAAACACGCCCACCCAATGAATGTGCAATACTTGCCATAAATGTCTGTTAATAACGATTTCATATTTTTATTTTTTTCAGTTCTTTGTATAAGAAGTCGTTTCTTTTCTGCTTTCACAATTTGAGATTGAGCTTCTCACAATTGAGAGGCTTAAGTTGTTACCTACTAGCATTGCATTCACCTTTCATTTGCGTTAGTTCTAAAACAACTCCACTAGTGAACATAATTCCTTGTCATCCACTACGTTGGAAGTAGTGAACAATTAAAGCTTTCTTCTCTGAAGCTTCACACCTTCAAGTGAGCCATCCAAAAAGGAGCTCTGGAATATTTTACGTTACCGGTGTTGCTGGCAAGTTTACGAGCCCGCAATTGCAATCAAGCTTATTTATATATACGTGCTACGTAAATATATACATAAATATTCACCGCTGTATTATTTGCCAAAAAGTTTCCGGTTTCGGTTTTTTATTTATTGCATCTGCAAGCACTTTTGAGTACGCACATAGTAAACTGTGTGCCAAATTTGAAAAGTTTACAAATAAAATTACGCAAAACAACGCAAATGCCCAAAACAATCTGACAACCTGCGATAAGGTGGAGAAGATACAAGCGCAGAGAGTGCTCATATTTCATCGCTACAAATAATTTCGCATGCATAACCGCAAATAATTTTATATTTGCAATCTTTCTACAACTTTTTCTACTCAAATAAATTGATCAGCGCGTCGGCCCCAGTTGCCGCAGAGGGGTAAATAAAAAGCTAAACTTTTGAATGTTTGTGTGTCTCGAATAATACGCAAATGACGAAAAGGTAATAAGGAAATTGTTTTTAAATTTGGGCAAACTTTTTTGGTATATTTTCATGTAATGAAAGCGTAGTATAATGCTGCTAAAGTACCTTTGCAGTCCGCAGCTCGTAAAACGCAATTTTACAGCTACGGAAAGATAGACAACTTTATTGAAACTTTTTGTCAAAATATTTTTTTACAAAAGCAGCATCGGTCTCATGAAAATATTGTAACTAATATTAAATGCTTACTAAGGCTTCTAACGGTATGCAGATCAAGCCAATACTCAAAATGTAGCAGCGAAATATTTAGTCATATTTCTAAAACCTTCAACCACGAAAGCCTTTTCTTAAAGATGGGGACTAACAAAATTACCTTCAGTGAATAACAAATTTCAGTTGCACATTTTAGTTTAATTTAAGCAAATTCCTGATTTATACTAACGCTTTTACTGCCATATGGTAGCTATGATTACCTTTTTAATAGAATCATCCAACTAATCGACACTCAATCTGTATCCACTTTTTTGTAGACCTACAAAAATTTGCTTTTCCATGTGCCAACTTAAATAATTATGGTTAAATTTTAGTAAGTTTTCAAAAAAACATTTGCCAGAATTCTTGTTGAAGTGCTCAATTTAAAAGTACCGGTATTAAGACAGTTCGACTATTACGCCTCATCATCTCAGTTAGTCGCTTTAAATAAGATAAACTTTAATTCAGCTGCATTTACCTATTTACGAATACAATAATTTAGTTGCAGCAACACCTATCATAGACATAATTAAATTAAAAAATGTCGCTCCGCAGAGTTTACACTATTTGTATTGCAACTAAAATGTTAACTTTTAAATACGAGTATAATCCGTTCCTAAAAAAAACAAAAACAAATTAAAAGCAAAAAGAGCTATTGTGAAACTGCAGAAAACTTCGTGCTGCAGCAAAAGTTTGTGACAGTAAAAAGTTGCCCGACTGTCTCAACCGAAACTGGCAAAAAGGCGAAAAACATTTACTCCCAAAAATAGCCAAAAACAAAGCCAACATTTTTAAGTTAGCAACGCAGAGCCAAGCATGCAAGTTGAAAATAATTCTTCTTGTCATTTAGCTAATTAAAATTTTCAAACATTTCTTCTACATGTACGCGCCTCATATGTGGTCTGCAAGATTTTAATTATAAAAATGAATAGTTGCATAAATAATAAAAAAACAAAAAACAAAAACAACAACAAAGTTAATGCAAAAGTCTAATAGAGTTGCTACCTTAGTATTCCCTACATATGTCGTTCTCTATTTTCTTTAACAACAAACACATTCATGTCTACGAATGAGTTTTTCATTAGATTATAACCATATGATTACAATAATTACTAATACAATTAAACCACAATACTTGAAAGAAATTTTTATAATTTTTCTTCCCTTTTTTACATTTATATTCTGCTTTTGGAATAACATGCCAACGCGGGAATGCCATTAATCAACACGACACTAAAACTCCATGATTCTGCTATTGCGTACGTTCACTCAACAGATCCACCACAAGTCACATTGTCGCTGGGCTCAACACTCAAACCGGACGAAATTAAAGAAGGAGATGATGTTTACTTCGAGTGCCACATAAAAGCTAATCCGAAGGAGCATCGTATCACATGGTCACATGATGTGAGTGAAATACTAATTAATTCAATGATATTTGCTTTATTCCATCGAGGTATATAATTGGAAGCTGACTACAAATCTTTTACCACTTAAATTATGCTTATTACTTGACCTTAAATTTTAGCAGATTTTAACGTGGCAAAGTAGTAGAATTGTCTATACTATTAGTCACATACTTTTAGTTCGTAGAGTATAGTGTTGACTAGGCTACGTGAAATTACATTTTAAGGGATAACAAACGGGTACATCGCATAGAGGAAGAGTCTACATCTTTGCTTACAATATTTCGCGATCCGAGACTTTCCAAAGCAAACGTTTAACTGAATAAGGGGCTACCTTTAAAGCGATCTTTATAAAACCAAAACCAAAACAGAGGATTTTAAAATATTATTCCTGCTTTGTCGCAGAAAAATTTAATACGTAAACTTTAACACTTTCATCCAGCAACTCATACATCTGAGTCCCGTTATATATGAGGCGTTTTGCTACTTTGCCATAGGTTACAGAACGATGAAGGATTAACCCTTATGTTAGTAACCTGGTCGGTGTATTTGTGTGAATAGTTAAAAAAAAATTCAATATTTCATTATTCTCTGAAACGTCGGAGACCCTATAAAATATATATATAAATGATCAGTATGATGCGCTGAGTTGATTTAGCCATGTCCGTCTGTCTGTCTGTCTGTCTGTCCGTCTGTCGGTCTGTCTGTATATATACAAATTAGTCCCTCAGTTTTTAAGCTATCGATCTGAAAATTTGCACCTGTCCTTTTCTAACAAAGAAGCTGCTCATTTGTCGGAACGACCGATATCGGACCACTATAGCATATAGCTGCCATACAAACTGAACAATCGGAATCAAATGTTTGTATGGAAAATTCTTTCATTTGACCAGGTATCTTCACGAAATTTGGCTTGGATTATTATTTAATGCAATAATCTAATCGCCGAAGAAATTGTATAGATCAAACGACTATATCATATAGCTGCCATATTAACTGAACGATCGGACTAAAGTGTTTACATGGAACATTTTTTTATTTGACGAGGTATCTTCACGAAATTAGACACGAGTTCTTGCTTAAGGCAACAAATTATTCTCCGCAGAAATTGGTCAGATCAGATCACTATATCATATAGCTGCCATACAAATTGAACGTTCGGAGTCAAGTTCATGTTAGGGGCCTTTGTGTTTGTGAAGGGTATTTTAGCTTCGGTGCAACCGAAGTTAACGTTTTTTCTTGTTTTAAGCTCTCAAATCGTCGTTTTTTAACTTAAAAGAAAGCTATTTGTGAGTTCATTTTATTATTTTTTTTTTATATTCCACGTTGTTATTTTTTTCTTCCTTAAATTGTCACTGACTATTAATACTTGAAGAAAAAAATTGTATAGAAAAATTTTTTAGAATTTTTTTTTTTAATGAAATAAACAAAATAATAATAATACTCAGATCGTGGGTACCCCGGAACCCGGTTGCTAAAAGACGTCGGTAAAGTTGGTTACTAACATAAGGGTTAGTGCTGTCTTCGACTGACAAACTAAAAATATGCGTGAATTAAAAAAGAGCTACTCTATGAATTGTTTTAAAATTGTAAGGGTAAGGTACTGATAGTGATTCCTAATTTTTTCGTGGATGCAACCTAGAAAAGAAAATGAATTATGCACCGCGACCTAAGTTCCATTGTGCCCAAAGTTTAATCCAACCAAATATTCTCTACTAAAAGTTGCTGTTTCAAAAAAAACACATTTAAAGGTGAATTGATATTGCCGATAGAGCGAGTGGTTACTATCTAAATGGCTGTAACTCAAAAACTATTCGAGTTATGGTTTAAAATTTTTGTGTGTTATTTCTAAAGGAATAACATAAAAGTATAGTATAAGCTATTGAAATATGGAAAGCAAGTTTTTTTTTTAATTTCACAACTAAGCTGATTAACAATTGAGATTGCGATTTAAATATTAGTGCAATTATTTTGTGAGATTATTAACTTTTAAAAATTTATAAACCAACTTAGTTTATTTCATTTCACTGTTATGCACAGAGTTTTGTTGTTTTTAATACTCACTACTTACACGATTTTGTGGTAAAGCATAGCTTTTATTAATCTATACAACTGTTTCTTGAAACTCAATAAGCAATAAATCACCTTGGGCATGGTAAGCCACTCAGTGATAAAAAGCTTTTAAAGCACTTACACTTTATAAATATACATTGCCGAAATAACTCAAAATCACGAAATTTTCCGCAACGAAATTGCTTTTGCACAAACGTATGTATGAGCATTAAAAGCATACAAAAGGGTGAAGAAAACTAGGGATATACAAGCATACACATACATATACACCTACAATGCATATATGTATGTATGATTGTGAATTGTGACACACAATGGCAAATCATTGCAAGTCCCACACGCGCAAAAATGAAACCGCAAAGAAATAGAAAAAAGCATTATAATAAAAAGGCGCAAATACTGCGGTGCATGCAATTTAACCGACACCCACCGAGCTGAGTAAGCTGCTCACATTTCGAGCGTGGCTGTTTCCTATTTGTTTTTGTCGTAAAATAACTACTCACATTTTGCTTGCGGGTAAAACAGCTCATATAAATGCAGTTATTATTCATTTTATGACAAATTTCCAGTGCATTTTCATGAAAGAAGGCAACACAGACCGGGCCATACGCTCCACACCGGCGCAGACACCGCCGCATGTGTTTGTGTGTGCGTGCTTGTGCGCCTGTGTGAGCAGCTGACTGTGGCAAGATAGTAGCGGATGTGCACGTATGCCACTGGAGTCGTTTGCCAGCGCGCACACCACCGCGCACATCTAGTGGCCGCTGGATATGCGTATCCATTTGAGTGCATGCACACATACACACACACACATACCCACACAAGTAAGCGTGTTAAAAGCGTTTGTATGGGAATGTACGATTACTCATCTTTATAAATTTTTGTTTTTATTTTTGAGTATGTTTTCACATCTCACATTTCTTTGTTGTTTCAATATTTTCCTGCACCTACATGTTTATTTATTTTACAATACTTCCACAAACACACACACACACACATGTGAGCAACTGTGTATTTTCATGCATATTTATGTGAATACATTTGAGTTCGTGTATTTATGCATTTATTTACCCTTTTATTTGCGGTGTTGCTCGTATGAAAAAGTAGTTATTTGCACAAACCATACCGACCAAATGGCAAGCAATAACAACTGCTAGAAAACAAAGAGTGATAAAACATAAGAATAACCAAACATTGCTGCCACTGCCACAATGTGTATAGACAGTGTGTGTGTAACATAAGAACTCGAATTTCTGGAATGCAGCTTTTACTCTGCTCCAGCTCTAGCATTCCCAGTAAATTATGGTAAGGTTATGCGCGACTTGGACGTATTTTCTTTAATCAACTTTTAAAATCGGGCTCCACAAGTACTGATCATTATGCCTCAAATGTTGCACCGAGTATATATCGAACAGATTTATCTCGACTTGGTTCAGTGGTGTAGAACCCGGTGTGGATCGGAGAAGGCTGTGAAGTTTTGGCGAACAAAAGCAAGATTTCCACCATCAACTAACAACTCCATTAATGTTTATATCGTAAATATGAAGTACGCAACTTAATTTAGTTTCGAATAAAAAATGAATGAAATGATTGTCCCAAATTTTTGGTGTTGTGGGTATACGAGTATTTTTCTCCGTCCATAAATATTTGCATTGCTGTTTTGCTTCGTTTTTATTATTTTTATTTTATTGCTTCATTTTTTCGTTTCGGTCTTTATTTACAAAGTGTAAATGCTCCATTTTGGAGCTGTTGGGAAGAGGCAGCTAAACGAAAATTACATAACGCAAGCACAAATACCGTTATATCCACACTCGTTCACTTTACAGTACGGCATAATTTTGTTTATATGTATAAATTCTGAATATTTTTAACACAAGCGATAAAGAGTAACACTTTTCCGCTGAAATTCGATTTTAAAACGCGCTCTTATTATACAATGCCAACAATTTTAGGTAAACGCGCAAAATATTTCTCTTCTAATCTATTTTTCAAGACCGCTCTGCTCCCAATATACCCGTAATTCAAAATCCAGATATTTATGTTGTATGAATAAAAATATTCCAGTAGACGTTAAAGGGTTAAAAACTCGACACTTAAGTAAGTGAATATCTCAGTACAGTTTTGACTTTTCAGAAATTATATTCTTCAAAGTTCAACCGCTCGCGCTGCTGTCGTCAAAGCAGGAAATACAAAATGAAATTGCGAAATATAGTAATTCTGAAAATTTTAAACATTATACTATTTTTTGTTTGCTTTCAGGGCATCTCGGTCACGCAGAACGTATCGTGGGGCATCATCATTTCCACACGTTCGCTGGTATTGCAGCGCGTTGCACGCATCCACGCCGGTTTCTACGCTTGTGCGGCGGCCAACGACCGCGGCGAAACGCAGAGCTCGCTGGTGAATTTGCGTATACGTTGTAAGTGCTTTTCGATTATTATCATTGTAAAATCAACTATTTGCTCTCAAACGCATTTTACGTTTTATGAATAATTTAATGCGCTTGGGGGGCCACTAATGCGAGTTCGACATCATATTAGTGAAAGAGTACGCGTGACCCCCAAAGCTGCATTTGCATCCGATTGCAAAGTGTCACATAGAAATGCAAAGCACGCTGTCACGCGTAAAGCAAATGCGTCCGGAGTGGTGACACATTCGATTGCATTTCCGATGGACTATTACAGGCATTTAGACGCCGCGTTCGGTCGAATGAATGGCAATAAATTATTCTACAGCAACAATTGTCTGTTGTCTGCTCATAAATATACGGTTATGTGCCGCTTTGACCGTAGTACTGGCTGGGGTCGTACGCGAGCAGCAGAGGTCAATGGCTTTCACTAACACTCAATTAAAAACTATCTATGTGCTGTGGTAGGCAAAGTTGATTCGAATTGACAATGTTGGAAACGGCCTTATACATAAAGTGTTAGAAGAACCAATGTGGTGCTTTCACAGGAGTAACTGGTATTCTCCAAAAAGCATCTAACATCAAGCGTTGGATATTTTCATTTTCTAATTTTTTAGATAATTGTTAGCTATTTTCGGAAAAGTAGTCAATAAGTTAAAACTAGTTCAATATTAAATGAGAATAATTTCATTTTTGTGAAAGTTTTTTTTTTCAATCAATGATCTTGCACTAAGATTGGACCGTTATCTCTGAAAACTCACCTACCCTTTGCCAACAAGTTTGTTACTTTGTTAAGCGATTGTGGCAACAATCCAAATGTGAAACTCTGTCAGGGCAACGAGTTGTGTAAAATTACAGCGTCTCCATTTGCCTCTACTAATTTAAGCACATGCCTGTCTACAGAAATATTATTCAGCACACATGTGCCGGAAATTTGCAGTTCAGTAAACAAAATACAGGAAAATTTGTAAAATATATTGAATGCAACTCATTTACAGTTTTTGCGGATATACAACTGATTTACGAATGTATCGAATATATATTTGAATTATTCATTTGAACTGTTATAGATGCTTGCATCGCCTCTAAAATAGTTATTCCGCATTGTTTTGTAAGAATTTAAAGAGTTTTGTCCGCCATTTTGACTACGTCCTGTGGTTCGTTATTGCCATTTTAATAAAATAATTATTATTTTTAAGCATTGCCGCGAGTCCATATACCTAGAGTATATAGTGCTCATTAGACACACTTTTTAAAACACAAAGAAATGCAGTTTCTAGGCTACCATACTTTCGTAAATATTGAAGTTCATACTTAAAATATATATTATAAATATAATATATGATTCATATTACAATATCTAGCAACCTAATTCACTTCACCGTGCTTTTAAAAATGACAAATAAATTTATAAATCTTTTAAAATGATTATCAATATTATAATACAATTGTTTTGTTCATCAGATTATCAAACTGTGTTAGCATAAATTTTAATTTTTATGTGAATTATCGCATTATTAAACAAATTATTGGAAATTTGTTCCAAATATATACATACGTACCGAGGCAATAATATTTGTTCATAGTAAAATATTATATTCCTCCAATTTGCATTACACATACATACATACGAACATTTATTGCTGAAACAATAATGAATTTGACAAAATAAATACAAATAAATGAATTGCATAAAATTTATAGTCCCAAATTGATTACCTTCGTATAGCAAGTTAATTTCTACTGACCTAATGAACGTAATGAACAGAAAATATCAGCAAAGCTCTATTTAAATTTACTGCTATTTTTCGCGACAAATGAATTAATTAATACTTGTATTTAAAAACATAATTAGTAGAAGCGCTTAAAATACGGAAAAATATTTGCATATTAATATGGTTATAGTAAATAGAATAACATTTGTGTCACGTGGGAAAGATGGCAGTCATATTAATATTCCATTTTGCTTATAATAGCAACAAATAAGCTACGCCAAGGCCCGGGCGGAACAGAAATATTAACACGTTTAAAATCCAAATAGGTAACAAACTGACTGCTATTATTACCATTATACACACCCTTTCCAGCCGCTGTTGCCTACAGTAATGAAGTTGCTCATACGCCTCGTCCGACCTGTAGCCAAACGTGCGAAGTAAGCAAAATTTGGTAATAATTGAACGCTTTTGCTGGTTTTAAACGTAGTTGTTTACATTCATTACAACTTTTTCAAGTAGAGAGTAAGTTCGTGAAATAGTAAACTCGAATGCGCGACAAATTACTTAAAGTGCGTTGCCGTCTAATTAATGCACTGCATGAACGGGTGTTTGTCAAAGACAAGTAATAAACACATCAGATGTTGCAGATAAGTGCACGACCGTGCTTTTCAATAGCCACCTCGCCGTACACACTCCCACTTGCGCACAGCCGTTGGTAATAAACGCTCTCATTACTAACGCTGTTGCATAATTAGCGTAATTGAAAACAAACAATGCGCATGTGACGATACATTCTAATTCAATTCATCGCCCTGCCACGCAAAATGTAAACACACGCAACTGTGTGTAACCAGCCATGTAAGCATTTTTTCTCCCAGTGCACAATTATTGGCGGCAGAATGTTTTACATGAGTTATGAACGCCCTGTTAATGAAAAACACACATGTTGAGTGCCCTCAACAATACGAGTAGTGTGGGTACATGGCATACAAACTAATATGTGCACAATAAGCATACTGCAACAACACGCAACCATTGATTCTCTCATATAATGTAACTATTCTCGATTTATTTTAAATTTTCGGTGTCAGTTTGAAACTCCTATTTGGAGAAAATGCTTGAAAGGAAAGAAGAAAGTTGAGAATTCGTCCGAAACTTTCCAAACAAAAAAGCAATTATTTAAAAATATTTTGTTATAAAAGTGATAAATATCTTCGTTAGATATAAATATATGTACTCGTATGTATATACATATGTTTATACATTTTTATAGATACATTTCGCATATATTTGATCATGCAAATTGTTTCACCATCAGGAACAGAACGGGTAAAAATTAAAAAAAAAAATTAAAAAGAAGTTCAATATTAACGACTATGAATAATAAAACGCTAAAAATATCCAAAACAACAACGCATTTATTTCTCTTCAAAACGACGTATGTCCTTGAGTGAGTGATTCTATGTACATGTGGCACACAGCTGTTCCTAAAACGGATATGTGAATTCATATTTCCCCTTTAGAGTCATTTCAGATTTTTTAGTACAACGGGATGGTCATAAGTTGCTTGTTTTTCAGAGTTGAAACAACATGTCCACCTTTTGTTAGTACACACTATGACAAAAAAAAAAATAATAATACTCGTTCTATAAGTTTCCGTGTGAAATATTCAGTGCAATGAATTACTTACGAAAACTTAAAATACTTACACATAGATACATATACATATATACTTATGTGTTGGTGCATACACATTAATGTTTTCATACAAGCGGTTGTAATAAAATTTCAAACTCAATCGCTTGGAATGAAACGAATGAAATAAATAGACGAGCGAAATTCTGAGACGAAGCTACGCGTAAATGTACAAGTAGCGGCGCTTATGTGTCCGCGTGTGTGTTGCGGATAAGCGTGGCTGTTGGAAAACCTACGCCACACCCGCATGCATGTATGATTTTACATTTAAAATCTCATGTGTATTAATACATACATATAATATGTGTGCCGCTATTGTGGGCTATAGCGATATGTGTTTGTGCGGAAAATTTGTTTCTTGATTCTTTCCTTCGTGCGCACGAGTGCACATCAGAGAAAGCTTACTCATATAACAAAAACACGCACACTCACTTCTACAATCACACCTACAAATGTATTTACAACTGTAAATGTATTTATTCACTACGCCGGAACAACTTTGATGAATAGTGTGCGATATTACCAACAACAAATATTTGTGTTTTTCGCTCCAGTTTTTGCTTAAACCGTTGACATATTAATATCAAATAATTATGCGCGCAAATATTTGCTCGGGTGAAGTGTTATCAATGATATTGTGACAACATATTTGAATATGTAAATTTACAAGCGCCATAGGGTACTTAAAAAGATGTATGTACATTAATAAACATCGCATTGTTTAACTCTATAACTACATGTATGTGTGTATGTATGTGCACGTGAAAAAAATTTAGCAGATGGTCGACTGAGAGTGAAACCAAACTTTTTATACTCTCGCAACCTGTTGCTACAGAGTATAATAGTTTTGTTCACCTAACGGTTGTTTGTATCACCTAAAACTAATCGGGTTAGATTTAGGGTTATATATATATAAATGATCAGGAAGAAGAGACGTGTTGAAATCCGGGGGACTGCCTGTCCGTCCGTCCGTCCATGTAAGCTCTAACTTGAGTAAAAAATGAGATATCTTTATGAAACTTGGTAGACATGTTTCTTGGTACCGTGAGACGGTTGGTATTGCAGATGGGCGTAATCGGACCACTGCCACGCCCACAAAAAGCCATTAATCGAAAACCTATAAAATACCATAACTAAGTTCAAAATGTGTGATATTTTACTGAAATTAAGTTTACAAGTTTTCTAAAAAAATGTGTGGTTTAGCGCTGGGTTACAATGGAATTGGTCTTAACCATGGTTTAAACCTCATATCCCTAATATAATGAATTCCAATCCTCTGGTTGACATTTTTCACATCAACTCAATACATTCAATTTAACCTTTTCGATCAAGTTAATATCACTTGAAGGTATTCTTAATATAAATTTAGCTGACGTGAACTATCAGATATATAAAAGTGAGTCAAAGTTTATGGTCTTCAATATAAGTCAAGAAGATACCACATTTGATTGTAATTTATGCACGATTTCGTCGAATAATGAATGTTTAATTCTTTCGCTACATTTTAAAATACAACTTGTTGCCAGCACTATGATTCTTGCAAGTTGCAAGAGTATAAAATGTTCGGTTACACTCGAACTTGGCGCTTCCTTACTTGTCTCGTATTATTTCCTAATAAAAATGTAATTAAAGTATAACCGCATCATTATTTTTTCCTTACTATTTGTATATTTAGCAAGTCATCAAAAATATAGGTCGTACGTAAACTTTTGTCATACACTGTATAATAGATGAGTTATCTTATTTGTTGATACTTCTACTCAAGTGTCTATGTTAAGGAATATTCAAACATACTTCATAAAGAAACTAAATAGATATGTTAATGAAGGTTCATTCAAAATATGCATTTAAAAAAAATTTCGGAAAATTTCTTCCAGCTCAAAATTTTCAAATCTATCTTTTTTCAGTATTTTTTATGTGTTATTAAAACGTAAATTACCTGATCATAATATTTTTCTCATTTCTTCCATCTTTTGAAGTCTTCGCAGATACGAGTGTATATAATTATTTTAATACGAGCATTCTCACGTTATTTTCCTTTAGATGCTCCAGTTTGTAGCACGAACACAATGATTGTTATTGGCGCCTCACTTGAGGAGGCGGTCCCGATACCATGCCGCGTTAACTCCGATCCACCGGAAATTGATTTCGAGTGGACTTTTTCGACAAGCGGTGAGCACTTTGAAGTACCATCGGGTCATTATGCAACGATACAAGAGGCTACAACAACCGGCGATGTGCACCGAACAATAATCGAAACAAATGATACACATTTCGAAACTTACGGTAATGTAGCAAAGATTTCTTAAAATTTTAATGAGGGAAAACATGGTGTTTTAATTGAAAAAACACACAAAAGGAGCAAACATTTACGCAACACGCATACATGTGAATTTATCTACGTACTACGTGATATGCATGCATACTACATGCTTCCTATCGAAAATTTAATTAATTCCCAGTATACCTTGTGTTTAATTAAAATGATGAATTTTGTTTACAAGGAGATTTTTCTTGAATGAAAACCATTTGTGTATTTATACCAGGAATTTTGTAAGCATTTAGCTACGAAAATTCACAACTCTCCGAAAACGCTTAGTACGTATTTTTTGTTACGATTTCTCATATACAATCTCTTATCTAAAATAAGCATGCCTGTACATGACAGTCAACTGACTGATAAGAATTAAATTGATTTCGAAATTTCACTAAAAACTAGAAATACCTTCTCCATGTGAATTACATAAGAAATTACGAGTAGATGCTCAGTCTTGCACAATTATAAATATTTACATATATGTATGTACATACTTATATTTATATTTGCCATATTTACACATGCAATGTTTGCTCTATTCTATAGTAGAAACTGTAAGCGAATTGATATACACACCGAAGGGTGAACGGGACTATGGAACACTGGCATGCTGGGGCCAAAATTCAATTGGCAAACAGACGGAGCCTTGTCTATTCCAAGTCGTGCCAGCAGGTAAGTCAACATACATACATACATTTATAAGTGCCACAATCGGTATATTGATGCATTCGAAGCCGAGATATACCAACTACTCATCGCCTTGCATATTTATGATTATTAAATATGATATTTTTATTTAGTTATTTCGATATACGCTTTATTTGAACATCTGTTCAACACCCAATCACCATTGCATGAACCAAATAAGCTGTTTTCAAAATATTTAATTTATTTGGAACATCATTAATATTCAGATACAAAATTTGCAATCAGTTTCCATGCAAGTGCTCTCTGTCCAGATTTAAAATATTGATGAATCAAATCCGGCTCTTCTTTCCGCCTGCGCCTTTTCGATCGGTTAAAGGTTAGGAGAGCTACGATTGCCTTCTCGAATTAACCAGTTGTTCTAAGTCTTAAAAAGTATATGAGCTACCGCTTAAGCCCGACAAGTCACTCACCTAAGCTTCTTTTTTAGGTATACATATATAATATACACTTTGCAAATCAGATTTTGGCGTAGAAAGCCGAACACACATACTTCATACGTATATATACGTACATTCTAATACAAATATTAATATAGAGTTATGTTTAATAAATTTATTTCGCAAAAAGTATAATCTGTTTTCCATCTATTTTCATTGATTTGTCTATGCAATTGTGTATGCGCGCAGCCAAGCCGGGAGCGTTGCGTAACTGTACATTGCGTCCATATGTGGTGACCTCTGCCTCGCTAAATTCATCGAACCAAACAACAATGCATAGCAATCAGATGATGCCAGCACAATATGGACGACAGGAATCAAATTTTCCGCATACGGAGTATGTACGTGAGCGACATAATAACAATGGCAACAATAATAACAGCGCCAGCAACAATGGTAATAAAATTCACAATGGAATTGGCAATAGCAATGGCAACAGCAAGGCAATCAGCAGCAGCAGCAAAGGCAATAATAAAATCAACAATGTTGTTAATAAGCAACAGCAGTCGGAAAAGAGGAAAAAATCTGCAACCTCATTTGTCGAGCAAAAGCAAAAGAAATTGCAATACCAACAAGCACGGCGGCTGCAACCGAGCGAACACCAGCAACAACAGCAATTACAACACCTGAAGAAACGAACATCTTTCACACCATCTCAAACGCTGGCGGCAATCAAACGGCAGCAACAACAGAAACACGTACAGCACAACAAGGCAGGCAGCGGCGCCAAAGCCGAGGCAGGAAATATCGAGGCAATTGGCTATGGCAAAAAGTTGGTATCAAGTGCAACGCGCAGCCCGTCGGCTGATGAGAGCGCCGGAACGCGACGCACAAGCGCAGCTGCAGCAGCTGGTGTTGCAAATGCCGCAGGCAACCTGGCAACAATGGTGTATATCAATAACAAAACTGATGGATTGCTCACGAAGACACGAGCGGACAACAAACATCGGTCGAAACGTGCTGTTGACGAGCATGCAACAACAGCAACGGCAACACTTGCAGAATACAAACACAACGAGGGTTCTAAGTACAAGCAGAAGAAGAAGGCATACAAGCTGGCCTTGGCGACAAAGGAGCTGCGGCAGCAGCAGTCGAGAAAGCGAACTTCAAAGCAGACGCAGAAGAAGATAAATGCGAGCAAATGGCAAAAATCAAATTTATCATTGCCAAGAGTTGCTGCTGGCGCGGCAGCTGTCGTCATCAACGGCAGCAATGCACCGACAAACAACAGCAGCAAGCAAACGCCTGCAACAAAATACTACAATTGGCGGCGAAAAAACACGCATAAACGTGAGATTTCACAAGAGATGAGCGCAGTAATCCATCATTTAACGCAAACAGCAACAACAACAGCAGCAGCAGCAGCAACGGCCACTGCAACCGAACCGTCAAAGGAAGCGGAAAAGGAAACAACAAGGGCAAGCGCACAAACCCAGCGTCTAGCAAAAAGAGAAATCGCAACTGCAGCGCCCAACGAATTAACGCAACATCCAACATACATGGGCGAGACAAGTGGAGATTTAGCCGAAGTAATAGCTTCTGGTACAGCTGCTACTATAAACACAGACAGCAGCAGCAGCTTTCACTTGCCAGCCGACAATTCCATTAACTCAGCAGCAAATAGGCAACAACACACTGACGGCGGCACTACAGCTAATGAATCCGCTGCGATCGCTGCAAACTCATTCGATAAGGTGCGCATACGCAAATCTTTGACAGCCAAAAACGTTGGATCTGTCGTTTCGGATGTTGGCGGGCGAGCTGGCAGTGCGGCTGCCGCCAACGACCGTCACTTTTTGCAACATAGCAAAGCCAGTCATCACATTAGCAACTTTTCTAGCAGTGATAACGGCAAAGCGAACTCGCAAAGCACCACAACCAACAGCCACAACGCGCCGCCCAGCGCGCCCCAAATAAGCAATCATGCCACCGCCTTTCACCAGCAGCAACAGCAGCAACATGAACAAAAGGTAGATGAACAACAACAAAGCATTTCAAATGATAATCGCAACATCGATGTTATTGGCATGCAACGCGCAATTAATGATCTCGCCGCCAGCTCGGATGAAAGTGGCCGGGCATCAGAGATTTTTGCCAACAAATATGCTTATGACGATGAGATGGGCGAGATTGACATGGCCGTTGACGAAGTGGATGCTGACGCCGACATGGAGGCAGAATTGGTAGGTGCCGATGCGGATGAAGGCAATGACAGTGATGATGCAGATTTAAATGGCATCATTGAACTCGATGAAGAGCTATCGCCTCCCACGACGAGTGCTGTGCAAAGTGAGATACATTTATCAGCTCACGCAGCGGATGCTCCGCACTTCGAATACTCACGCATGGAGTATAGTTTCAGTAATGGCATTGCTACTCACAGCCTGGTTGGCGGCAATGACAATGGGCCTGGCCTTGGCCTGGATGGGATTGGGCATGGTGACGGTGGTGGTGGCGGTGGTACCATTAATCTCGAGAACTACGATAACATTATTTATTCGACAATGGAATTGGAATGTATGCCAGGATACGATGGTGGCCTGCAGCAACAATTCTTTCTGGAGGCGTACGATTCCAAAACGAAGAAACTGCGCCTAAACACCTCAAGCACATATGCCGATATACCGATATTTCGCATCGACTTGAGTGGTGAGTAACCGTTGTGGTATTATAAATCAAACTATGTATCAACTCCATAGATTTTCTTCTTTGAGGTGGGACGAGGCTGTGCTATTTATTTAACCTCTAATAATTAATTTTCATCTTAATATTAATTGGTTGGCATGGAAAAGGTGGTTTTTCGTATACATTTTATCACTGATAATTGTGCGGCTAATGACTCTGTTAAAGAAGTGATTAATCAGTGTTAAAGCTTTGAACTCTTTCTACCGTTACCAGCGTCAATGCGTTGCAAAGTGTCAAGGGGAAAGTGACTAGCCAACGAATTTAAACGAACGAGTTGAGAGTGTTGTAATTTATTATTATTAGGTGTTCTCCAACGCATTAGGCTTATTTTGCTTTCTAAACCTAATTGTGTGTGCGCAACAAAAACGCAATCGTCGAAGTTTCCCAAATCGTTTACCGTGCCTTTGATTTTTCTACACCGCTGTGAGTTAATGAGCCAAACTTTTCGCCTATTCGGCGCTTATTTACTTTTCCTTGTTGACTTTTTCTCTTTTCGGAGTAATAAATTTTATTACTTGGTGCACAAAAACAGGCAGGTTGAGGCACACTCTCTTTCATGCTCTCACCACCTTGGCAAACAGACGTATCGATAAAGAGTGCGGCGCAATTTTTGGCTGAAATCTATTGGCGTTTATTGGCTTTCGCTGCTGGTTGTTGGTAGCTAAACTATCTGAAAGCTCTCTTACATCATTTTACACGTCCGTCTTCCCTTATGTACTCACCCAGGCCAATGCATGCCAGTTTTCCCGCAGGCATTGCTTCAGGTTTATTTGCAAAATCTAACGAAGCGGAAAGTCACGATTAGTTAGACAAGCGCGGTAAGCTGCCAATATCAGCGCAACGCAACCAACTTCACTCCTCCGCATATTTTCCTTCGCATCTCTTCACTTCTCACCCACCAGCTGCACTCTGCGTTCGCCTACAGCCAGCGACTACCCTGCAAATATCTTGTTGCACCCACTAACCATTTGATGGTTTTGTAAATAGAGTGAAAAGATCAAAGTCGCTTTTGAAATTCGTTGTAGGTGGTTGATGTGTGGCTGCTATAGTTGTTATTCCATGAGACTACTCGATGATTTCGGTGGCTTCTACTCCAACAGTCACTACTCTGTGTCTTGTGTCTTGTTACTGTTGATGCGCCTCGTTAGATGTTGTCTTTTGCAGCAGTGGCTACGGAGCTGTAAAAAACTTTATTTAATTTACTCTTTACATCAACAACTACTAATAGCAACCAAAGTTGCCAGACAACATTTGCGTACAGTTGCTTTTACCGTTGCGCAGAAACAAATATAAGTTTATTTGTGTGTGCGTGTTGGCTTCTGAAGTGGCTGTTGCGGCAAGTACTTACTAATGACTTGGGTGGCAAGTTGATATCAACTTTTTCGGCATGCTAGTTAGTTGGGGACGTAGATGAATACTCGGAGTTCTCCTTTCTGAAGTGGGTATGTGAACATTTCAGCAGGTAATTAGCTGATCAGATGATTAGGTTCCAAAGACTGTTCATTAACAGAGAAACTCTTAGAGTCTGTCTTTTAGTTTTCTACTATAAGTTGTAATATTTTAAGTACTAGTTTTTGTTAGAAAATTTATGAAATAATAAAATTTTATTTTGAACAGTTTCTTGATTCTTGTTCATAATAAGTAAAACTCAATTTAATTATTTAAGCACATATGTATTTATTCAATGTATTTTTATTCGTTTCATTAGATTTGGCCTCAATGGACTACTACCCGGATCCAAATCCAGCACTGCATTTAGTGGTTTATAGCGCCAATCAGAAAGGTCGTTCGGAACCGATTGTTTTGGAGAATATTCCCATAAATGAAGCAGAAAAGCGAACAGGTACGTACAAATTATTGTTGATTATATGCCGATCGATTATAAGATTTTCTCGTCCACGTAATTACGAAAGTATATGTATGTACAAAATAATTCACTTGTAAAATAATAAATAACTAAAATTTTAAATGAATTTTTTATCCCCTTTGTGCCGCCCAATTTTTGGTCAAGCTCTACCGTTCACAGATTTTGTATTATTTAATTATAAAATGCAGTTAATTTGTTAGCATTAACTTAACGTTTTACCACTAAATAGTAACTTAGAATGAATACAATTATTGGTATACCATCTGATCATATTTGACCTGGACTGACAAAAGAACCAACATTGAAATACTAATCTTTATTATCGCCCTTAAAATACGCCCCTAAACCAATACAAGCATGGTTGCGGCAAGTTTTCGATATCTTCACGACTTTCACTGAACGTTTGCACAAAATTTTCAGCAAACTCGTTGTTCAATATTTTTCCATGTTAAAAATCGCCAAACTTTTCGCGCCGTAAAAACCCGCTGCCTAACACGCACTGGTTGACAAATTAGTAAATAAAGTCCTTACATTACAAAACAAACTATTCTATTACATCAAAAATGAGATTGAGGGATCAAAGCAACTAATTTCATTAATAAAGTTTATCTTGCAGTGTTATTCAGTATTTTTTGGTTCGCTCATGTGCATATTCGTATCTACAAGTAGGTCTCCCGCACCGAAACTAACATAAAGCACTTACTGGTGACCCGAAAACAACCAACAATAATTGCCATTGACGGGGCTTTTTGAATAAGCGAGTTCTTCACATTTTCACTCACAGTCGTTTTTGCATTGCAAGCAGCATTATGCCCCATAATCTTGTATTTAAATTATTTATTCATTTAATACTTTTCCTTTTACTCATTTGCATTGATAAATGTAAACAAGAAGTTTCATGAGGAGACCGAAACAGACAAAGAACAGAAAACACAAGTGTTCCACGAAAATATGTATGGCGTTGTGCTTATTTACTGCCTTTTGATTACTGTTATTTTCTTATTTTTCCATACTGCAACGCAACCCGCTCGGCCTTATGGCGACTCCTTAAAGGTTGATTTCTTGGTTCAGGGCTGCGGACCGCTGAACAATTTTGCTTTTGACGAACAAGCCAACTGCCAGCCTTGCCTTTACGTTGACATTCAATTGGTTCGCATTCAATGCGCGAAAACAAAGCACAATAAACAATTGTATAAAAATGCCTAGATAAAAGAACGAAATTGACCGTGTTGTGTCCTTTTCCACAGCTCAACGAGAGGCTTGTGATAACCATGGATGCTCCTTTTTGGCTCGAGCGCATTGTCATTGAGTCCCATTGGCATACTCGGCGGCATAGTTAGGTAGAGGAGCGCGGTAGTGGGGTCTGCTTAATTTGAATTTTATGAAATGTAAATATTGCATATATGAGTTATTCCTTGCGCAGAAAATCGGATTTGCTCCGGCATTTACTAATGCAAATACATATGTATGTATGTATGTACTTGGTCAAAGGCACTCCAAAGCGAATAGACTCTAGATTATAGAGGAGATGGTCATTTATTCATCGAGAAGAAATTTTTATTTATATACTAGAAATGCTATATTTTCCATTAACAAAACTTTCAAAAAATACTAGTTTTCTGGTTAGCGCTATTTCAAAATGCATTTCAGCTGGTATCGATTAAAAAACTCAAACTTGGCACGTTGTAAGTACATATGTATTGAAGGCAGTTCGACGCAGCCTTGAATGTATGGTTTTATGTCCAAGTGCGTATTTTGCTTTACTTTGTTTATTGAACGCATTACGTATGCCCATAAATCAGAGCGTTAGCACCGAACGTACGTACGCACGTTCATCATTAACACACACAAACTCGTATTGTTATATGTGTAGTACAAGTTCAAGCGAGCCATAAGCAATACTCATAAACCTAGACTATATGTATCGATATTGAAGGCAATACACCGAATATTTCTTAAGCTATATACTTATATTAAACTGTATGTCTGTTTGTGCGATAGGTATATACATTTATTCATAATTCTCTATTATTTTCTTCAATATTACTTACCAACTTTCCTTCTTTGCTTCCTTTCCTCAACTACACATGATTTTTATTTATTTGAGTTTCATTGCTGGACTGAAACTTTCGTTTGAAATAGCCAAACTTCTTTACCCTTCCATTATAAATAACAAATCCCAATCGATTAATTTATTTACTTTCCTATTTATGTTTCGACTTGGGAAATATTATCTGCGTTATTATGGGCCATGATTATGGTATAGGAATACAGATAAATCCGAGGCATAAATATATGCAGACCAATGGCCTTCTAAACACCTTGTAGGAAATTCTGTACTAAATTCAAAAGACATCTGCCATTAAGGTTAGTTTCTTTCCCATAAATGATTACTAAACGTTATGAAGTTCAGATTCGTTGATTTGAGAACTCTTCTACTACAGTTGTGTTCTCAAAAGCGATTTTCTACATCTTTAATAAAGTAAAAACGGGATCGAATAAAGATGACTGATTAACTTTGGAATAACGGGTGCATAACGTACTAATAAATCTCGAACTAGATTGTAATTGGTGCATTTCTCTGCAGGGTTCATCAGTAAATTGATCAATATTAGGCAGCCTGATGAGCGAATATAGAAAGACAGCAGTACTGAATGTGTGTGAAATGTTTATTATGAACAATTTTGTATGTATGTATCGATATGTATATGTATATGTCCTTTGCAAATAATAATGTCGTAGGTGTCATTAATTAGGTGTGATGTACAAGTATGTAGGCATGTGTCAGCCAAGAATCATAGGTCATATTAGACTGATGACAAAGCATGACTATTTAATATTTATTACCGAAAATGCAAATCAATGCATAACAGTTATTTTCAATGTTCTACGCAACTTGTATGAAAATTAGCAATCATGTGTCTAGAACTCTAGGTTGTGGCTTAGATGAATTATTTATATAAATATGAGCGTGTCGATACCGCTACATGGTTAAATATTAGTAATTTAAATCCCAAAATGCACGTGTAAGAAATTTCTAAATAGTGTTAAAACAGCTTATTCATTCCATCCATTCATTGCCGGTGGCCATACTCCGCTTAATCTTGGTAGCTGTTCAACAGAAGTTTGAATTTCCCACTTATTTTCTGCATAAAACCAATAGTAATGCGCATTTTAATTACAGCAAATATCATTTAGCCCAAACAATTAATTTACTTAGTGACTTCTCGCTTAAATCAACTGTTCGTTATCGAAAATCAAACCATACATTTAAATGAATCGATCTCACTTGAAGTTACATTTGAGACTGTTTTAATATTCATTTTGTGCTTTGTCACTGATAACTATCTTCATTTTGTAATTAGAGATTTAACGTACGATATTGGATTGAAAACGACACAGTACACATATTAATATTTTATTTTTTCGCTTATCTACCGTAACAGCAACATAAAGCAGATTATCACACCTGTTCGTACACATTGTTGTGGGAATTGCCTGGGTATAACGAAGGCACAACAGCAGAAAGGAAATTATTTGCAATGCAATCGCCTATTGCAAATACATACATATATATGGGAATGTAATCTAAACTGTTTGTGTGTGTAAATATTTTTCGTTAACATGCGTACGCATTTTTGTTCCTTTTAATGGCAATTTAATATTTTCCGAATACGCTGTTTAACTTAACAGACACACAATCCTTGGAGATACATTATCCTTCAGGTTGGCAGAAGCGATGTGAGATACGCAAATGCTTTTAAAAGTAGGTCCTGCCAGAAAAATATCTGACTGAAAGTTGCGTCAGTTGCAATTTGTATACCCTGAACATATACCCTGTTCAGGGTATACAAATATAAGTTTGCCACGAAGTTGGTAACACTCAGAAGGAAATGTCGGAGACCTTATAAAATATATACATAAATGACCAGCATTATGAGCTGAGTTTATTTAACCATGATCGCCATGTGTATTCTCCGCTCAAATTGCATTGATCTGATCACTATAGCATATAGCCGCCATACAAAGTGAACAATCGGAGTAAAGTGCTTTCATGGAAAACCTTTCTTCCTATCTTCACGAAATTAGGCATGAGTTATTGTCTAGGGTAACAATTTATTCTCCGCAGAAATTGTTCAGTTCAGATCACTATATCATATAGCTGCAATACAGGCTGAACAATCGGAATCAAGTGCTTGCATGGGAAAATTTTTTATCTAACGAGGTATCTTCACGAAATTAGCCTTTGTATTTGCGAAGGGTATTATAGCTTCGGTGCAATCGGAGTAAACGTTTTCTTGTTTTTTTTTTTTATTTTCAACAGCATCAAAAATCATACTTCACCAACCATTTCAATACCGTTCTTACATTGGTACATTCATACGTTTTCAGTTGTCGTTCGCGGCTTTGTTTGCCAGTGCATTACTGTGTGAAGGAAAATATTTGTGGTAAAATGATATAAAGTTCAGTTTTGTGAACGAACCACAGCCACCTTATATTTGAGGGTTTGTTCATATTTGTTATTATATATATGTATATATATATATACTTCAACCTAAGTAATTGAAGAAAGAAACTTATTTCGGAGGAATTTGAGCTCGAACACAAGAACAATGGAAATTTTATCGATAATCTGCAAAGAGTAAACTAGAAAAGTTTAAGTTTCTGCTGTATAACTTCGAATATGTGTATACAAACATACTCAGCTATTTATTACATGCCAATGCATCTAAGAAGCACATGACATTGCCACATATTAAAAAATGTAGTTGACAAATAAAATAGAGTACAAATATATGTTTCGGCTTTTAAGTTGTCTTTGCAAGCAGGTTTTTGCTTGACAATCATATGATTGTAAGCGTTAATCTTCCTATAGAATATTTGTATCGATGTAATGTGGAAAAACTTACAATACAAAGAACACATTACTTTCAATGCTGCCACAATTTTATTTATTCTGCCTTAATCTTTACATTGTACGAAATTTATACGCAAATATTTGAGCACATAAATGTATCCAAAGAGGTAAAAGCATCTGCAAATACACCAGCACTCAGACATGTGTATGTGTATGAATGAAACCGATATTCCCAATACATTGAAGTAATCTACTTTTTCATCATTTTGTAACGTTTTATATCTCAAGCGGGAGCATTAAATCGAATTAAGCTTATAAGATGCCGCCAATGCACTTTCGCTCTAACACATGCATGCAAATGGCCGTGTGTGCCTGTGTGTGCGTACACACCTGTCTTGGCACATGCACATTCGCGTTAGTGTTTGGAAAATTACCTGCCAGAGCGAAGCAATATATTCAGAGCCGAAAAGCGCTCACACACATCCACTCGCGTTTGCTTGGCATACATGCATACATACGTGGCATGGTACATATGTGCCACACCAATGTGCACTTGTGTGTTTACACCTGGGAGCACACATTGACGCAAATATTTACACAAGTGCGAAAATTTCATTACAACTTATACTTTTTATTTAAATTAAATTTGGTATTTTAGTGCTTGGCTGACTGGCTGTTTTGCAGATAACTGGCGTACTTACACATGTGTGTGTGGATATTGTATTGGTATGCTCGGATTGGCCAACGAGCTGGTGCATTGTATTTGGTTGATTGTATTTTCGCTTGTTTGTCTGTTACGACCTAAAAAACCGTTAGATCTTGTGATGGTGTAGTTTCTTTTTGAAGTGCTTAACTCTGGCAGAAGGCAGGTATGGTTCGTTGCTGCAGAACAGAAAAGGCAGGTGAGCACATTTCGCTGGCTAGAAAACTTTTCTCGCCGATTTCAGAGGTATTTTATCAGTTTCCAGCTGCTTGAGTACGGCTAATATATATTTCTAAGCCAGGTTCTCATACTGGAAATACTTTCCATAGTTGGATATGTTTTACCTTTAATAAACGAACAACATAAAATATTAGTAAAATCTTGAAATTCATTTTACGATTAGAAAAATTTGCCTTTTTATTCAGGATATCTAAACCTGCCACGCCCTCATTTGAACCAAAATTTAAATGTTGCTTCCGTAAAGGTAATTGCTATTTTATATCGTTTTGTCTTCTCCTGTAAATTTAAAAAAACAGTGATTTTACTTTATTTTGCATTTATTTATTTAGTCATCGAAACTACTTTCAGTGGGGAGACTTTTGCTCGATCAAGATTTTCGGTATTTTACGAGTGTTTAAGTCAAATCAATAAACATATTTCGATAGACAACCGCAGCTAATAAATTCCACACACGCTTATCTTAGAGTTTACTTATGTATGTATTTAAGTGAGGCTATTTGAGTGATATGTATGTTTGAAACAAAAGTGCATGCTCAGCAAATTCTCACAAGAGTTTCTGCAAAACATTCGCTATGTTACATTTAAGACACTAGACCTGATGATGTCCACTCCTTGTTTAAGCATATTTTTATAGCAGTCCGGTGGCCATAAAATACACTCATTGACACTTAAATTTTTTATAGCGATATTGATGCCCAATTCTCCAATAACGTAGACTTTAGGTTGATACAAATATTTCATTATATTTATTAATCTGATTTGAAGCGTAGAATTTCAAAAATTCGAAGTGAATTACTTACAAATTCTCTATAAATAAATTTCTAGCAATTTATATCATGTAATTTGTTTCAGTCTTGCAACTAGTTCCTGAAATAATAACAATAGATAATTAACAGCTTTATTGCAGTACTTTACTTAAGCGAGAAATTTAATTAACACTAAAATATTTAATGCAAAATTAAGCGCAAATATTATTAAATCTAATTCCGTGCGTAAAGCACTTATTCCCTTTACATGTGCTATTTAATTATTTATTAGCACAACTGAGCTTTCTGCATAATTCATTTGCAACTACATGCAAATAGTTCATTTTTCATCCGAAATTCAAACAATTTATTTACACAGCAGTGCAGTGATAGATTTTCTTTGTATAAGCATCTGGTATTCGTATTCAACAGAAATGCATACAACACATATGTACATACATACGTATGTATCTACATGTGTTTAGCTATGCTTACTAACTCATTTGCATATGAGAACTTATGAGTGGCGAGCACTTATTAAAATTCATAAATTTTTTGCCGCTATTTATTTGTGTATATATGTACATAGTATAAAACGCAAATCATGAGCCAATGGCCACAATACACATACATACAAACAAACATTTTAATTTATTGTTAAGATTACCGAATAAAGTATAAATTGTATAACACTGCTGAACACAGCAATATATTTGTAGTTCAGAGCTAATAAAGACTTCATACAATGAAACAATTAGATGAATTCTAGAAAATGAAAGTGTGTGCTACATATTTATATATTATATACAAGTTTAATGAATAATTTGAAGGGAAATTTATTGCTTTTCCTGTGAGTTTGCTAAAAGTTAATGTACACATTATTATATTTTGATGTAGTAAGTGCTCATGCTTATTATTGTACTTGACACCGAAAAGTACATTTTTTCTCTCTCCCTCTCATATCTGAAGGGCGATTCGCAGCAATAATGGCGCTGGTGTCGTTTGCCAATAATATTTTCAATCAAAACTTGCTTTGCTTATTTTGCGTTCGAAAACCCATTTAGCCTTTTTCGTTTATCCTATTATCTTATTACTTTGCCTAGTTCAATGTCCTTCTTGTTTATGCACAACTCACAACTTTTGCACTTAACGGGATTTGCAGGGATTGTCACATTAATACAAACATTTTTTGGTGTTATTTGTAGATTGTTTGCATACAATTTGGCCTAAATGTTTACACTTGCTTATAATTCGACGCATAGAAAAAAACTTAGTGTAGTAAAAAACTTTGTGTTTGCTCTCCTAATTGGCTTAAATTTTGACACATACCATAAAGCGTTTTTAACTGTGAACTCAGATTACGATAATAGAAGAAAAAGTAAAGCGAATCGATGCCACAGCCTAATCGTTATTACTTATATTTAAATAGGTAAATAATATTTAAAAATAATAAATAATACATATATTGAAGTAAATCTAAAGCTGTAAACTTTAGTATTCATTTAGTTACTCAATGATGGATCTATAACTATATTCGTGTGGTATTTTTCAAAAATTTAAGAAAACATGTACAATAGCATTAATCAAAGTATTGACATCATATCACCGTTAGTAGTCAAATTCAATTTAAGCGATTGAGAATTATTTTTTTTTTGTTTTTGATATGATATTGACGACACCTTATGAAAAAGACCTTCACTGGCTTAGTCTGTAAAAAATAATACTAATTAAATATATTTTTGATAAATTTTCACTTATTTTCACTAACATATTGTTGCTTTATTTTAGACGGGCGCATGGCTTCCATACTACCGCTTGCTGCTCTACTCACTGGTACTCTGTTCACCGTCGGCGTCGCTGTGCTTTTCGTTGTAGTGGTCGCTGTACGCAAAAGACGCTGTCAGGGGGGACGTAACCTCTGCGATGACAAAGATAAGCATTTAGGTAAAATTATTTAGTTCGAAAAATCTGAAAGAAAGTAATGTAATGTAGTAATTCAAGAAAGTTCCATACAGCTTGAATATTTAAAATGTTTTATTCACTTCGATTGTCTTTTAACGATTCTCAAACGGGTTTTGCTTTGTTTGGATCCATCATATTTCAGGTATGGATGTGACCGTGACCGCGCCACTTGAGACGGGTGCGGGTCACCAGCGTTTGGTCGTTGCTTATACTCTCAAGCAGGGCATCGAAAAACAACCTGATATTTTAAACGCTCAAAAGAGTGCAACCGGCAGCGACACATCCTCGCCGCTGGGTAGCAGACCTGGTGGGCTATACCTCGGCGGCAGCGGTGCGGCGAGTAGTAATTGTGGTGTTCCTGGTAATAAATCAAACTTCACAACTACAGTTAGTACAAATGCAGTGACAGATTATGTAAGTACATACATTTCAGTAATACTAGTTGCTAAAATAATGTGGATTTACTACAAAAAATTATATTTATACAACACGCAGTTAGTAATCGTAGTACGATAAAAAACCGAAAAATATTGATTTGTGCTTTTACGTACAATATATTCGTGGTTTTTTCTCTCATCTTAGCGTACAAAAAAATTGAATGGAATTGTTAAAAAACTCTACTCATTTAATTTAATTTTTTCATCTTTAGGACGCCTCCACCATCGGTTACAACGATCCCGTAAATTCAAACGATCTTCTCAACAGCCCTCCCTCACAATCGAGCACCCTAAAATTGGGTAATGATCTTCGTAAAAACTATCAAAGTTCACAGCAACCACTGCTCTATGACGCATTGCCGCTAAATCGACACGATATCTCACGATACGACCCGCTTGGTCTTAACTATGGCGGCAGTAGTAGCACGCTCAATTCAGCGGGCAGCGCCAGCACCGCCACTAACAACATAAATAATGCAGCTTCAAGTGGCGCCACACCGCAATCTTTAATACAAAATAATCTCAGCAACGGGCACTACGTCAATCATCACACACTGCCTCACCCATCTTCCGCAGCCACACACTCAAGCCTCCTTCACATGCAACAACAACAGCAGCAGCAGCAACATCAATCAACACTGCCAACTGATGAGCAACTATCCATTGCTGATTATCTCGCAGCGAGCAGCTTAATCGATTATAATTTAAGTAAAGCAGCAACGGGGTTGCCACCTGGCATGTCGTGCGGCAGCGCAGTTGGCAGTGGGCACATGACGCTACCCAAAGGTCTCGGCATAGGCTCGTTACTGGGCGTCGCCGGCGGCAACAGCAACGGTGCATTACTATCACAAGTCTCGCATCCAGCGAGCATTACACCAACAGCAACGATTACACAGAAAACGAACGCAAATCGAAATCATATTATAACGGACACATTACCGGGTCCTGAGAGTTGTGTTTAAGTTATAAAGAATACATTATGATATATGTAGTTGTAAGACAAGCGTACATGCATACGAACACGTTACGCTCTGAGAAAATTAAAATATAAGTTTATATATGGAAATGAGATGGAATGTTTGGAAGACACTAACAAAGATTTCGCAAAGCAAAAAAGACTGGTGCAATATACAAATAGTTGAAAAGCTACATACACACCCAAATGCACATATTATATATATACCAACATATAAGCACACACGCGCTAAACATTAGGGTGGAGCGAAAAAAAATTGTTTTTAATATCTACCGGGCCGCATTTTAAAGTAAATTTCGACTTAACATTTTTTTTTTTAGTTTAAGCTCTTCACATTTATATAAAAGTTACCGAATTTGACGGTTTTTGACTCAAAATTTATTTTAACGCTTAAGGAAAGCCCGTTGTCATTTAATACTTTTTTTTAAACTCCAATAATGACCACAAACATATTTTTAAGTTGATAACTTTTAATTGGCCACAAAGAGGACTGTCCACAGCTCCTAGAACACTTATCAAAAAAATTTTACGAAATAAAATTTTACTTTAAAAATTAGTGCCGCTTCTAGGTGTTAAAAAAATGTTTTTATCGCTCCACCCTACTAAACATGTCTCCAGGTGCTTTCCAGCTGGTACACCGTTTATTACTTACGGAGGTGAAGAGTGTGCACGCCATGTTTTAAACAATGTAATAATAATCAATAGGCATCAAGAGCCGTTCAGAACCCAAATATGAACTTTGGGTGGAAAACTACATACATATGTACATATCTGGGTTGATTACAAATTATTGACAGTTTTCGGGCGACTTTACCATTTTTGATATTCCGCTATAAATAAAAAACAAATTTAACTTTGTTCCAGGGTATTTACTACAGGATATAAATATAAATAGCGTGTAGTTTATTTTGTGAAATGTCTGGAAACCCGTACGTCTCCGTAGCGTGCTCTCTGTAGTAGGCAAACAAAATAATCAATAACACTTAATAAGCAAAGAAATCACCAATTCACCCCAAATCAAACCAATAGTGCATATTTGGCAGCCTAAGGATTGTGTGGGTCCAAGCAGGGGTAGCGAAACTTGATAGGGATCGAGTGAAAAGTGTGTAAACCAATGGCATATAAATTAGCAAAAGTAAATAGATGTAATAATACAAAAATAGAAAATTGATAATTGCTTGTATTGTAATTACTTTTAATTTAGTTTCTAAGAGCTGTGTACATACATATACATATATATAAACAAGTAATTATAGGCAATTTAGTGAATGTAATGTAAGTGTTTGTGAGCAAACCTTAAAAATAAATGTATATACTGATCTTGGTGTTGTTGTCACACTGTACTCGACTTAAGTAAGCTCCAACAATTTAATTACTTAGATGGAAATTTAGCAACCGCTGCGAAATGTAACTAATGCAGCGCAAATCTAGCAAATATGCACATTCTAGTTTTACAGTTATAAACATACAAGTATGAACCGAAGCATTTCACTCAGTTGAAAATTAATGTAATTTTTCATATATTTTTATTAAAGTTGAAAGTTGTATTCAACAAGAGTAATACTTCCAGTTACGTAATTGAAAATGTATCGAATTGTCGTACATACACACCAAACTCTTGCCGTAGCAGTAAAACATATCAAGCATATACATATGTACATAAGTATAAGCTCCTTTACGATATAACTGACATATCTAACCTAGAAGCCAGGGACTGTCTTACATAAATATAATATTAGCAGTTACACTTTTGGTCCACACGCAGACAATAAAGACTCACATATCTACACAGCGTGTATAAACAGAACAATTTGATTCGAAAAATTGAAAACGCTCAAATATGCAGCGTGCAAATTCCGCCAATACTCAGCCGTGCCCGATTGACCCGGAAACACAAGAAAATCGCCATTTATATCTGCACACACACAATGTTGATTATTTTGCCTCTGCTGTGCCCCAGCAATGCCAACTGTTATCAAAGCAACCGCAGCAATCATACCGTCACGACTGCACACACATACATTCATACATACAGACATAGCTACCACCATTGCCAGCTGCATAAGCACACGTACACTGAAATATCGCACTAACACACCAGCGCGGTGTTTTATAAGTATGCACAAGTATATATGCATATTTATGTATGTGTATATGTATGTTTGTGTGCTATAGTTAAGGATTTACGAAATTGCACTGCAAAATGCGTCAAATCGTTTGTCTTCCTCCATCTGCCGCTGCGCGTGTATGCAAACAGGTAGTGTGTATGTAAGTATGTGTGCGTCAGGACTAGGTGGATGCAGGCTCCAGTAAAATTTTATACCAACAATAAAAGAACTTTAAAAACACATTACCATCATTCCGAAAGTTATATTGGGCACGTTCGATATTTTATGTGTTTCTTTCTGTTTTTGCAATACGCGCGCACTTCGGATATAAAACAATTGCATTTTTATCTTTGTTGTAATCGAAAACTTTCTAATGTGCACATTGCCAATACACCCAGCAGAGATGTTCAAGCGTTTTGTATTTCATTCTCATTCTCTCACACTACATTCGCCTCTAAATGCGTCATTTATACTTCTGTGTCTCCGTTTGCGATGATCATCGAAGGTGACTTGTTTTTTAGCTAGAAAGTATAAGTATAATCGCCCGAGGTCACATAAAAGCTCTTACATGGAAACACTTTGTCGAAGTATTTATTTCATATTTAATAAACACTCAAACTTTACAACAACAGAATCAAATAAAAAAGTATCAACATTTCCTAGATATGATCACACCCTTAAAACTGTGTGTATACAAAGTTACGGCGCTAACATTAAACGATGTGCCGTTATAGCACAGAAAATAACAAGAGCAAGCATAAAATCGACATCACCAAAAATAAAATATTCAACAGTTGAGTTGTAGCCTGAGCCTTATCTGCCAGTTGATTGCCTTCACTACATAAGTATGTATTCCACTAAATATTGGCATAATATAACTGTTATTTTAAATGTAAAAATACACATAACTCCTGTGAAGCGATCGTCAGAAAATTTACATTGTTCTTCCTCAACATTTCCAAGCAATAAGTTCGCAATAAAGGACTTCACAAAAGTAATATAGCAATTACAAGAGCTATGGTACAATAACAATATAAAAGCTCGATAGGAAGTTGTTGAGTGCAGCGCAAAAGTTTTCCACTCTCCTTAAGCGAGAGCAGAGCGTCTGAGGTGTGAGGGTTGTCATAAGCAGAATATATATGTAAGTGCCGGCAAATGACAATATGATGACAGTGAATGGAAAACTTTTTAATATTCATGTGCAATGATTTATGATTATACATATATATCACAATGTTATATGTACTTCCCTATGTACTATATTATTACATAGGTGTTAAATGCCGTACACATGTTGCCATATAAGCTACTTTGGCGAAAATTTCCAGCAGAAGCAGTTTAAGCAAATCCTTAAATAGAGTTAATCACTCACCATAGAGGTTTTTCGAGTTAGAAGGTGTGCGTTTTTCCATATTTAATATGATAAACTCTAAAGTTCTACTCTACCGTATTAAATGAATGTAATTGATATGTTTACTTCATTTTAAAACAGACTGGACCAAAAATCCTTTTATTATTCAAATGATTATAAAATGGAGTGAGAGATGAGCAGAAGGTACTGAACTTTCTTAATAACAAAAAAAATTGTTAATTTCATTGACACCGAAGCTCGAATACTCTTCACAATTACAAAACATTCCATACAAAACTTGATTTTGATCGGTCAGTTTGTATGACAGCTACATATATAGTTACATGCTATAGTGGTTCGAAGCGGTTTCGAAAAATGAGCAGCTTCTTTGGGAGAAAAGGACGTGTGTAAAATTTCAGATCGATATCCCAAAAACTGAGGGAATAGTTCGCGTATACTTATACAGACCGACGATCGGATGGCTAAAGCGACTCTGTTCGTCATGATCATTTATATATGTACTTATATACTTTATAGGGTCAGCGAGGCGTCATTCTGTATGCTACAAACTTCGTGGCAAACTTAATATGCCCTGTTGAGGCTATAATAACAGCAAAGCCAAAAATTTGAAAAGTGTGTATAACGTCTACCTTTATTAGAACTTTCAATACTCAGAAAATATACGACTAATTTGAACCAAAATCTTCAAATAAGACGTCTCAACGCCATTTGAAAGTCACTTCCAACACAACAAAAGTATGGATGGCGTCAGCCTATTTAAGACTGCAATAACCCATTCATCAACCAAGATAGCTTATGTTAATATGATGAAACACAAATAGTACTACTGATATGAACTCGAAACCAAATTGTTAACTGAATTTAAGTGCAGATGTTTTCAGAGCTACTTCTTCCCCCTAATGTATCTAATATAACGTTTCACACATTTTCCAATGTTGTGTTCGAACTCAAGATTTTTGATTTTCCATACTTCTAAAACTGCAGCACTGACTGAACTAACCAAATTGATCATCAAATTTCCAAGATTACTTAACACATATCCATACCATCTACTGCTCATATCCTTAATATAATGTTAACTATCAGCTTTAGTGCTTTAAGTGCCGGTGGTGAAGCTTAGTTTTATTATTTTATATAATTTTTCTGTAAACTTATTTATTTATGTATTTGGTGAAAAGCTAAGTTACCGCTTTAATGGTACTTTAATCACATTGAAAAAACAAAACAAAAAACAAAAATGATTGAGCTGTACATTTTCAAACGTACTGTAAATAGTAGTAGCAAATCATTTAAGTGTTAGAAAGAGTTTAAGATTATGTATAAATATGTAAATGTATCATATGTAATTGTGCTTGCATGTAATTGTATGAGTACCTTTACTCATACTCAATAAAATATTAGAAAATTTAAATATTGGAATAGCAAATGACATTGTATTGTTATTGTAAAAAAGTGTAGAAGCAGAGTTTTAATGTGAGACAATGATCAATAAAATATACATATACATATATGTATGTACGTATTCATTACTATTCACACATACAATACATATCTAGTATAGAAAATGAACAATTAGACAGGTAGAATTATTAGACATAATTTATGTACAAGTATGTGAGAGTCGAACCTTGAAAGGAATACTACAATACAAGAACTACAATTAGGTGAATTCATAACACAAAGCATATAAAAGCATACACATATACAAAAACAAATGAATAATTTATATGAAAACATAGAGATTAAGTAACTGTAAAAAGAAATAAAAGAATAAGAGTCCTCTGTAAAAATGCTTAAATTATTTGTGATAAAGTTAAAGGAGTAGATAAAATATAAATATAATTATAAATACATATATACATACATACCATGTATAAGACAGATTAGTAGTAATGGATCATTAAGCAAATATATACAAACCCTATTGAAATATGTATGGAACTTGCAAAATTTGCGCGCAGACCCCAATATTCTGCTCGACTACAATGAAATGATAATGCAATGAATAGAATAATAAAGAAATTAATTCTTATTTGAAAATGCCGATGAGACTTTATTTACTTATTTTTATATGGGATATGGATATGTTTACAGGTTTACAGGAAGTTTAACAAAGAGCTCCAAATAGTAGCAAGTGATTTTCGAAGAGTTTGAATTCCTATGTAAAATGGTGAAAGAAACTCACAACCCTGGAAAAATCACGGAAATGAAATATGCGAGCTAATGGATATATCTCTTAGTTTGTACTATTACCCGCAGCGTTTTCTTGTGCTTGTTTAAAAAACTCCGCGCATAGGTGGCGCTTTAGCCATTTAGCTGTTGGCATTAGTCATCGTTGTAACCGTGAAAACCGTGTTCCCCTCCTATAATTAATGCTTGGGAACGTTACTATTTGTACCATAATTATATTAACTATAATAGTTGTTGTAGATATGTTCGCTATAATCGAGGTAGAACGGTTGCTGTCTCAGTTTTCGTAGGTAGCGCCATCTGCTGGTCGCTTCTTGGGATACATATTGCCCTTAATATGGCAGTTATGCGCACATTTTGTGGCTTCTAAACTGTCGTTTTGTGCTAAACATAAATTAGTTAATTTGAAAAGTATTTTAAGAATAATATATGAAAAGTCGATGAACAATATTTTGTGTGTTCCGCATTGAAAGTAACAATTTTTCTCGTGTTCACAGACAGAGTTCTGACAATTCTCAACACGGCAAACGCCAACAAATTGTTTTTCATCCCTTGGACATCCTTGGACATAATATGAACATGAGTCACCGGAACGGTGCAGTAAAGCCCTATGAAGTAATACTTTTTCAACCTTGGAACTTTAAAAATACACTTTCAACATGTTGCCTTTTAAATATAAAACCAATGTAGCCACTTTCTTTAAATCGGAGCAGAGTGAGTTAATATGAATGCATTTTTTAAGTTTTAACTAATAACGTGAAGCAAAACGCAAGCATTGATAATACTGTTATTTATAAATATATAACAATAAAAATAAAATTTTATACTTCCTAATTCCCACATTTATCGAATAAATGAAGTCCTATGGTGTTGGAAAAACTTATTTCATACACGCACTTATCTACTTATATGTTACAAGGGAATCTGCAATTCCAAACATTTTAACGGACATGAGCCTCTGAAAGCCTATGAAATTGGCGTTCTGTAAACTGCAATAAATCACTACTCTCCTTATAAAACACAAAACAGCATTAAAAGCAGTTAAAGAATAAAGCAAACAGCAAAATCATATTCATACATAAATATTATATAATGGTAGAAACAGCAGGCTAAGCTCTCGCATGTTAAGCATAAAATTTGTAAATACTTTCATTTCAGCATTAAATGAATTCCAGTACGTATAGCAAGATATTTTTATTTTCATCTGCTCTTATTTGTGGTGATTTGAGGCGATCCTATAGGCAGGTTTTGAAACGCCTCCAACAAGCGATGAATTTGATTGATTAATTGATCAATTTCACTGATTTTTGGTATTTGAGGTATTTGAGTATAGGTTAGAAACCAGGCACTTCGAAGTGTTAGTGTGCAAACCTCGATAAGTGGGATAGAGAAGCGAATTCCTCAATTAATATCAATAATTTTATAATGTATTTTTTGGTTAATAATCGAAGTTTCATTAAATATTAGTTAATTATAATTTCTATCAAACAAGTTTTGACCACTAAAATGTTTGCTTTCTATATTCATCGCCTATTCATCATTATGCGTACATAGGCATGTATGTTAGCAAAAGTTTTTGTTGTTATATAATATAAAATATGCCATTCATAACTAAGCACCATTAATCGGTTATAAAGCAGCAAATATGAAAAGTTTTCTAAAGTTTGAGATAATGAATGGTTTGTGGTAACCGCTTAATCAACCCGTTGAAATGGCTCTATTTCAAAGAGGGCTTTCGGCTCATTATTTTGAAAGTTGATACACACAAACATCACTGTTAAATCACATTTGTTCGATGCAGTTATCGACGTGGAAAATATATATGCAAACACATACACACATATATAATATATACAGATCTACACATATGCGAGAAGTAGATTTTTCATTAACACTTCGTTTAGGGACACATGTCTTCGCACAACAGCAAAAGGAAAAACAGAGATAAAATAGCACGCATTTGTTGAATGAGCCAGCGGATGAGGGAGTGAGCGCATAGTTGGCAAGAGCCCGAGAGTGCCGCCATGACAAATGTACTACTTGGCTGTACAACTTCATTATTCTACAGTTTTTGTTAATAAATCAAAGTCAAAATGTGTGATGTATCCTTTGACTTGTTTTTCTTCACTTTCATCTCAACTTACTTAAGATGACAACTTGGAATAGGTTCGTGCGCTTGTGTCACTGTTTGTATGTGTATATGTGCGTGTAGTATAGCTACACTCACTTTGGCAATCAGTTATCCGTTGCCGATTTACTTTCGCTCAGCGTCGTTTTCGTTTTCGTTTTTGTTTTACTATTTGATAAATTTGTCACTGATAATGAGAAACGCTTTCGTTTAAGGTTAAATATTTGTAAATCTACAAGAGGGAGACTCCGCAAGCGACAGTGTGAGCAGCTTTCCTCTTAATCTAGGTCCCGTTTATATTCGCCTAGGTTTCCATTGCAATACATTTTTGTCAGCTGGCAGTGAGGCAAAAGAAAAGGGTTAAAAGCCTAAATTTTGTGGTTTACATTTTCGGTCAGTGGGTCCAAATATATGCTCAAGATTACGAAATCTCTACGCAAAGATACTGTTTCCAATTAAATTTGTCAAATTTTAAATGTAGTAAATACAAACATTAATTACAAATTTTTTGTGGCAGTTATCTGATTTCAAAATGCCTGTGTAAGTGTTTGCCGCAAAGTCGGTTTGCTTTTTGCTCTTTTTGGCACACCTGCCCGGAGTAGAGTCACCCACAAAATGTCAAAGCACACTTCCTCATTCTCATTTCGGCCTTTGCTCTGATCATTTTTCATTGGGCCGCTTCGTGTCGTATGACGAGACACTGCCGGCAGCACGGAAGCATACGCATTTGTTCATTCGAGTATTTTTGTACCCAAGCACAACTTTGTTTTGTATGAAAAAGTCGAGAATTGCGAAAGATGCAGAGAATTTGGTTACAAAATCGTGCATCAAACTCATATTACTTATAAAGTATTGGTTCCCCTGACCCATTTCAATAACCTTTCTATCTATCTCTCATAGAATAGGTTTGAAAGAAATCCAAATGGGTGCGAAGTATGGTAGTAAATTTTGGATGTAGAAACTGAGTATGTCTTCTGCGTGAGCTCGAGCGAATCAGCTCGTTTAAGTGTAGATCCACGAAAGAGTGTCAGCATGTCGACTGTGTCACTTAAATGAAGTATAGGCTTCCGGATATTTTGTAGTTTGTAAACAACTGCGACTCCCTCAATATTCTGCTTCGTCTCTACTTCGTTCTCCTTATATGTGTTCGTTACTTTTTAAGTGACTTGATATTATGGTAATAAATTGTACATTTTCATAAGCAATTCGGTCGGCTTGTAAAATTAGGAAGAAAGCATGTCTTCATGCCTCTATGTATATATAATATGTGTGTGTTTATTGGTGTTGGTGAATTCATTTTGAGAGTTGACACTTTTTTACCTGAAATGACATGGGTTGACAGTAGATACATAAAATGTGTGAACGATGTTCATCAGCAAATTGCAATCGATGCCAATAAATCATTTCTTTCTACCATATTTTTGGTTCACTTGTGCTTTACCCGCTGGTTTACTGTAACCCTAAATGTAACTCGAAGCATGGCGTAAGCAAAACAATTTCAGATTTGCATGTTTTCTATTGGGAAATTGTTTAATTTTTTATTCAGCGCCTAACATATTCATGAGCCTTTTTTGTTCGCTATTTGTTGATTTGTTGATAAACATAGATATATATTTCGATTCTATATATATTTACGTGCTGTGTTAGAATTCGGTTAATGTGCTAAAAAACTATGTTTAGGTCAAGTATTATATGGCATGTATAAGTCTTGAAAATAATGAGAACATTTATATAATAAAGGAGTGGTAAAGAAGTATTCGATTTTTTTCCTTCGAATATAATACGGCTTAGTATGGCTTGAAGTAAACAGTTTTGGCCTTTATACTGACACACACACAAATATGAATGATACACACACCTTTGCCTACAGGGTTAATCCTAAGCAACCCGGTGCGAATGTGTGGTTAAAAGGTGAAGAGGCCAACCTAAATGTAAACTCAGAAAACCTACAAATAACTGAGACAGACGCATGTTTGCAATACTTATAATGTGTCCTTGTTGCCACTATAACTGTTAGTTATAGGGATACAGTATATTGTAAATATTAGTAAATTGATACCTTTCTCCGCCTGCTGTCGAACGGACAATAAAACAAATAAATAAAGTTTGCGAGCTGTGGGCGACTTACTATATAGTCAAAACCATATAATTGTATTTTAGCACTATTTACGTATATACAAATTTACATACATGCCGCTTGTTTGCCATGAAATATTCGGTTTCTAATATTCAATGACAGTTGAGTTTTTACTTATAGAGAGAATACAATAGTTCGTAAAAAAGACTCCCTGTTTTTATATTAATAACAAAACGGGAAGGGAATTTAACATCGCAGTTAAGCTTGCGTACCTTCGCCAAAATTAAGTATCTACGAAATATTCAATATTTCCAACATTAGTTTAAAATTCTTTGGAATTTCATATATACTACAAGTATATATACTTCTTTCTGTTACTGCTGCAAGGAGCATATGTGTTTTTATATATACGTTTTTTTTTTGCTTTTTTTTTATAATAAACTACACAGATAGCACCCGAGCAGCGGAACTAATACTAAACTGCTTGTTTAGATCTTTTCCGAGAGCTCTTCCTAAAGAGTGCTTATTATTGCCGAGAAAGCAATTCTGACCTTTCACCGAGAACGAATAACACAACATGGAAAAACGAGTAGTGAAAAAAACCTAACAATGCCTAAGTAAAAGACAGCTGAGCAAAAGAGAAGA